TTTTTTTTTTTAAACATCATCTTGGGTAATTAGCGAATAATATATCGTTCGGTATTAGAAAAAAACCCATCACTAATTAAATTAAATTTGGAATTATTTTCTGAAAAGGAAGCGAATTTTGCTGGGTGGTCCATATGTTTGCGGTTCAATATGTGATAACTACCAAGACACATTACACTGAAACAAGCACATACATAGCAACCAAAGGTAACATATCATACTAGTTATCGAGGTGAACGAAATCGGATGTATGTTTTCACGTAGCCTGTTATATCGGCCACCGTATCTGAAATCCTTTCTCAATTTAAAAGCATGGTTATGTGATAATTATTGTGCTTTCGTATTTATCGAAAACTACACGAAATTTAGTGATTAACATTTTACATAAAAAGCTGCAATGGGTAATTCATAACTTAAAAATATATCACATTTCGTAAATTTATTCCAAATATGGCTACATCAAAGTGTCTATTCCATCATATTATACAACATTTATCAGATATGTAAAAACTTCTTGGTAGCTCTTCTTTTATCTTTTGAACTGTATTATAATTATGTCAGTGCTTGTTTGGTTCGTTTCTGCCTATGTCCATTTAACAGCTATGGTCATTTAGAGAAGTGCCAGGTTCTGGTGGTAAAGGAAAGCCTGAGTACCCGGAGAAAAACCACCGATCAGCGGCCAGTACCTATCCATGCACTTACCTGGGTAACGATTATATTTCCATCCTTCAGCCACTGGAATATGTTTACCATATTGGTATATTTATTTTTAAAGATGTTGTACACGGTATCGCCGCAGACTGATTGTGAAGAGAAAACAAGAACATTTCATGTTACTGCTGTTTCGGTGTTACTGAGAACATATTTTATTCACATTTCTTTTCGTTTAGCTTTTTTCAAAACTAGATGCATATCAAAGCAAGGAAACATGTATTCTTAACCAAAACTGTGACCTCGAAAAGGGTAATTTCGATAGCATCATACTAACACAATCATTTAGTTTTCATGCATTCAATAAAGAATTTTGGGATACTTACCATCCCTCCAAATTTCTTTCGCGGTTTTCTTTGCTGTGTCGATTAAGTCGCAGGAAGGACACCCTGATGTTGCTCTTCTCCTTCTGAGTCCGAATAAACCTGCAGATACGTGAACATTTGTTGAAAAATAACAGAACAACATTAACCATATTTACATATTAGTGAGAACGCTTATATTCTATAGTATATTGTTCTATTCTATCAAATTAATAAATTATTCATGAAATGACACAATACCACACTGTGTTCTGAAAGTTCAATGATATGTTCATCAATCGGAAGCGTAAAATATTTTGCATCCTGACCAATATTTTTATATTTTATATTACAATTATTCACAGAACTTGACAAAAAACAATTATTCATAAAAAACAAGGAACATTCTAAGAACATTAACTTTTTAACTAAAAAGATAAATTAAAATAATCAAAAGAAATAATCCGGAATTGCATAATTACCTTTAATGGCGTTACCAAATCTTTTGAAGTCTTTACCAATTGTTTTCCCTAAATTCGGTATTGTACTGGTGAAGAATTTGTCCAAACGCTTTCCTACAGTTTCAGTTGTAGCTGGTAGTCTACCAGTGAAAAAATTATCAATCTCTTTGCCAATGTTCTTGACAGTTTTTGGAATAGTGCCTGTGACAAATATATCGATCTCTTTTCCAATTTTGTCGACTGTTTCTGGAAATGTTTCCGTAAAAAAAGTTGGATCCTTTTCCAAAGCAACTTTAACTCCATTTCCGAAATTGTCCAAATCACTAACGGCTGGGATAACACCTAAAATCACTTTATCATATCCAAAACTGTCCGGTGAATGGTCAGAATTGGGGTTCCTGTAATAAGAGAAATAAAAGATGTCGATAGTAACGTATACCATGGTGTATAAGGATGGAATTAAAACTCGAAGGCAACGAAGGGTAAAACCAGGAGGAACTATATAACCGTATGCAGAATGCGACTACAGATACTTTAACAAAGCGAACACACTAATATATGTATATAAGATACTGTTTACGCATAAAGTGGGTTGGAAACGTCCACCATTCATTATGTAAGTGAAAGACTTAAATAGTACGTTTCATATATACATACCTTCCTATACAGGCCAGACAGGTATGAATAGTTTTGTTGATTTGCGCTTTGCATGCTAGCGCGGCTTCGTCAAACTTTGTCTGTAGAGCAGGAAGTTCGGTCTGGTATCTGTTTTGATAATTTACTATTATATAAGTATTCAATTCTCTAGCCTCTGTAAAAAGAAATGTAAAACATATTTAATAAAGTAAGCACATGTGTCCATTTCATTATAAGTATGAAACGAGTTAAGATTTATATTAATGGACCCGTATGAAATTAAACTAAAAATAACAATAAAAAAACACAAAGTGACGATTCTCTGCTTGCAATCATTCATGTAAAACAATTTAGGAAACTCAGAACCTGGCGTCAACGCATATAGCCAAATCAATGCTCAAAGTAGATATGAAAAGACAACAGTAAGAATCGAGGTGGCAGCAATCACAAATCCTTCCAAAATCAGGAGCTTAAGGTAGGGGCCTTGAACGGGTAGATGTTTGTACCACCTGTTGTCATCATTTCTATAGCAAATCCATGGAGGAATACAGGTAACACTGATCGAGGACACAGCTTACAAGTCTTAAGTCATGGTTAACTTTGACCATAAACTGTCGAC